CGTTAAATTTAATTTAAGACAATGTCATGAGTAGGGAGATCAAAAATAACTTCCCTAGTGGTTTACAACGCATGTGAGTTAAAATTGACATATTAAATCCTCATGTGACACGAGGATTTTTCTTAACACAAGATTTCTTATGTAAATATTAATAGATTCATCATTGGAGAAATGGAGTGACAAATCAGGGTTTATATATCTTACTTGGGGACCTATATGCATTGTGAAAATTTGGTAAATTTATGAAATAAATGGGTACAGGTTTCATACGATATTTTGGTTTAAAGAAAAAAAAAGTCTTTTAATTTTGACATTTGTGTAAAAGCAAATGATAAGATGGGTGACGTGATAAACTATTATGGGATTGTAGAAGAAGCTGTTGAGTTGTCTTATCCAGGCTCTATTGGAGGAAGTGTATTCCTATACAAATGTGCTTGGTTCGATCATTTCATTCTAGCTCGATAGGTTAGTCAAGTTTTACTATCTTCGATATCCACATCCAGTAAGAGATAATGTTGATTGGGCGGTTGTCATTTCGAGTGAACCAAACGCCACTATTAATATTCAGAATAATATTGAACCCGCCTATCAAGAAACTGAAATGACAGGTTTCTATTTTCCACTTGATGCAACTGGTGAAGAGCTCAATCTAAAGGTTACTAGTGGCAAATATGAAGAAATTGATCTCATTGATTAGTAAGACTCCGACGATGCGTTTAAAGAAGAGACCATGACTACATCCTCCAATCACTCTTCAGACAATGATGAGTAAGATAGTAAGTTTATTGTACATTTTGTTGAATTTTGTATTTCAATGTATTGCGAGTTATGTGTTTTCGGTTTTAGTAGTTGTACCTTGCACTTTATAATTTTGTCTATCTGCCTATTGCATACTTATGTGTTTTATGTTTATTACATACTATTTTGTTTTTTATTTTATTACTTAGTATGTGTTATGTGCACTAATTAATAAAATTTATTCTCTTTGTTGAAGATGTTGACTGGAGGCAGGGATGGTCTCCCTCCTCAGT